CGCACGTAGCGGCACGACAGGCGAGCGAGCAGGCAACGTGGTATGCGTGGCCGCGGAGCGAACGCGCGCGGAGGTCACCATTGACGCAAATCTATCCGAGTGTCACGTGAGCGCGCGGCCGCTGGAACACAATATATACACGCGATGAACGACAACGGCCCGGTCGGCCATTCCATTAAATCCATGCCTCCTCCGTCCGTGTATATTTATGTGACTAGCGATGGGATCGAGCCACCGCGCCGGGACGTCCGATCCTTGAGAGAACGATTCGCCCGGGCAAAACTATCGTCGAGTCGCGAAACGGGTTTTTTTTTTATTCTTCGGGTTTCGAAAATGCGAAAGGCGCGGAGAATGGGGACCTGCATATTTCGCGAGGAACGGGAGACCGATCATAGGCCCCCGGTAGAAGCCCACTGGCACTGGCGGGCAAGCTCGCGAGAGGATGGGGGATGTCGTTTCTGTTCGAGGAGGTCTGTTAGAGAATTCGAGAAGGGAATTGAAAATCGATCGGTTCTACCGACGGCGCACGTCTTTGTCGCCGAGTATCGTTCCCATCGCTATTTCGACGAGGACTTCGGGTATGGGAGGAAAGAGCGCGGTGTGGATACTGCACTCCGCGGCCCACCCACGTTACGATATAATGGGCAATTAATGGCCGGTGGACTGGCCGATCCACGCTGAATGCCAATCGGCCACGGGAAGCGCCACGCTGGACGAGGCCTGTTGTTTAACCCTTTGCGCTCGCGCTCTGCCCGAACGCGCTCCATATGGCAACGCGAATCGCCAAAGAGGTCTCTTCTGGCTATAATTAGAACGCTACCACTCCGCGTGTAAAGCGCATTAAGTCCTTTTAGCGACGTCAATTCAACCTTTATCATCGCTTCCCGTCTTCGATTATTTCGCACTTTCCCGTTGAAAAATTTCCGCATGACCAGCGGGTTTTTTTTCTCCTCTCTTCTCTCTTCGTTAAAAAAGGTCATTAAGTCAGACAGTCGTTATACGTATCGCGATAACGTCAGCGAGGAACCTTGCGCTAGCCTAGTTTCGGTCCTGTGAGACGGAACGCTAGCCTAGCGCGAGAGAAAAAGAGAGAGAAAACGTATTCTTTACCTCTTATCATTTGTTAATTAGGTCAATGTCGCCACACGACGATCCGTTGCTTTCTTTAACCAGTCTTATTGCACTTGTTGACCAACAAATTGATAAACGAGCCAGGACGTCTCAAAGGTACCGCATGATGTCTCAAAGTCACGTTCTTTGATACGCGTATCATTACATCTAGATTTGTATATTTCTGGCGCGGATCTAACTAACTGCTCCTTATCTTTCAGCTCTCGTTCAATGCCACGTTATTATTCGCTCGCAAACGGTTTACTCGGGCTTCTTTCGAAAAGTCTTTCTATTTTCATCTATGATGGCTCGTGGAACTTTATTAAAATTTCAACATTTAAGAAGCACAATAAAAGGTACAAAGAACAAGAAATTAAAAATAAAAATTAGGAATAGAGAATTAAACTTTTCGACAAATAAGATATAAATACAGTGAAAAAAATAAGGAACAAGAAGTGAAAAATAGAGGATTAGAAAGGAAATGGAGAATTAAATTTAATTATTATTATTAGACAAAGGATTGAATAGCGAGAGCAATGAAAGAAATGAGGAATAACACAAAAAAAATAATTTTGTTGTAGACTCTAAAAATTTGGCCAGACCTGAAAAATAATTTTATTGGGACAAAATTATTAATTAAAACATTTAAACATAATAATAATACTGCAAAATCTTTTACATTTTACTTTTAACTAATTTGAACGTCTTACATAATTATTTTGATGGCCTAACAAAATTATTTTTTAGATCTACATCTAAGAAAACTGTTTTCTCCGTGAAGAAATTAAAAATAGAAGATTGGAAATAGAGAATCAAATTTCGATGTATGGAAAATGCCCATGCTTTATTATCAGGGAATATGCCAAGATATTTTTTCATTGGAAATTGTAATAATTTTCTATTTCTCGATATTTAATTTTTTATTTTTTTATTCCCATTTATTTATGTCTGTGCTCTTATAGCTTCTCTTTCAGAGAATATGCTCAAGGCGAAAACAAACAAACGGCTGCCGCAATGCCTTCGACGTTAATGGCGGATGGCACAATGGTGTTGCAATACCGGAGGATTATGCAACAATCAACGCTCTTATAATACGCGCATACCGCACCATAATATCTCAAGTTTCGCTGAAAGCAAAACATTCTGCAATGTAAACGATAATTGATCGTAGAATGCGATGACTTTTTCCAATTCAATTTTACAAGATTTAATTTAAATTCGGCGAGCCGAAACGAGTCGAATCAAATTATCCCCTGAGTGAAAGTGAAAACATGCCAAACGAGAGTCTTGTCGTGATTTTCCATTTCCGGTGACTGGACTTCAATTACGCCGATAGGTATCTCGATATCGCAGGTTCTTTTCGAAGTGCGTCTCGATACATGTCGCGCCAACGTTACTTGCCCGCGCTTTGCGCTCTCATCACAGAAATTAAGTCGCATTATCTTCAATCGTCGTACGCCTGCAAATGAAATCCGAGGAGAGCGCGCGTGGCGAAGGGAGGTCTATTATCTTATTTATTCGTGTGCTTACGTACCGATTGCGATACGCAAATATTCAGCGGTGGTCTTACGGCGATGTACGATGCGATCTGCGATTTTTCTCCGATGCCGCCGGAAGAAAGTAGAGAACGCGGGAAGATCGCGTTGTGTGGGATGGTCATTGTGTGGCGTGTGGTTTTATTACTAGAAATTACGTAAATGTACCTTGTAACGGCAAGAATAACATACACGTACGAGAGATTATATAATACCATTTAATATCTACAATTGCAAAATTGTAGCGTAGTTGCAGATCGTGGAGTTGGTGGCATTTATGAAAAGATAAGATAAGATCGTTGATTGATCAGTATCTACATTTATTCTGCATATTTAAAAGGAAATTGTTGTTGAAAAACATTATAAATTATTTCATATTTATTTTTTTACATCAGCATATGTTGGATAAATATAACTCGTACTTCGTTACGATGAAAAAATGAGTTTATTTGATGAAAATAAAATCTATTTTTAATATTATATTTATTTAAATTCTATTTATATCGTAATCTCGGTTTAAAACTAGATGTTAAGTTTTTTTTTCTTCTTATAATTTCTATAATTTCTGGAATGTGATTTTAATGTAATAATTTTCCATATAAATTGACCACAATTTTATCAGGAAATAAGATAAAATTCAATTAATAAACTTCTCAGTTTTATTACTTTCAAGAACTTGATCGACGAGATATCGAGATATCGAGAAGCTTAGCAAAAATGAAATAATCGACTCGTTGAAATATATCGATTATCTCGAACTCGAGTTGAACTTATTCGACCTAAATGTTTGAACAATTTGAATTGCGCGTTCTTATCTATTTGTTTCGCATTTTTAATAGTAAAAAATATATATTTTACTGCAATGAGAAAGAAGAAAGAATAATGTTTCGGTACATACAATTCTCTTTCAAATATTGGCAAAAAATATTATATAAATATTATATAAATATTATATAAATATTATATAAATAAATAGTTTTATACAAATAAGCACAAAATAATGTGATTAATGTAAACTTCAATCAATTTTGATAAGAAAAAGAAAATATAAGTCAAACATCGATTATTATTAACCGATTAACAAGAATGGAATAACAGATTTATTTCCCTGTTTCTTTATTTTTCTGTTCCTACACTCTGGATTGCATTAAAACTTTCTATCTCGCTTTGACAAAACTTCAAATATATATCCATGTCATTTTAAATATATGTATTTATACTAGATCAGATCTA